CAGTTTGTTATTTTTCCTTTTGTGAAGGAAAAGCCATCTTCACATGGCAGATGACTCCTCATGCTCTTCCATTAACTGGCAATACATCCAGGAGTAGATGGAGAAGATAAATCCACTTCTATGAGAATTTCAAGTTCTTGTTATCAACACCTTTCTAAAGGCAAGAAGATAGAAGCTCATATTAGTGCTTCAGTGAGTTCCCTGCTCTGGCTATATATTGAGGGGTTTCAACTGAAAAGTCAACAGTCTTGTCTGAACTGACCCTGCTTTTTCCTCCAGGACGTTTATTTGCTTAGGTAGCCTGAAATTCTGCTTTTCATATGACAGAATCCTACACTTCATGACCACCTCAGGCTCTTTGCTGAGGTATCCCCATTTATCAGACAGTTATTTTCTGCCTTTAAATCAACCAACCACTGAATGTAGTTACTTGGAAATAATTCTCCCTCTTGATAACTATAGGATTTGTTTACAGCTTCTGTAAAAGTGGTTTAATTGGGATGAATTATATACAATCTAGATGTCTGGCCTAATTGAAGGTAATTGCAGAATTTACCTGAACTTAAGACAAGGATTATAAACTTGATATATTCAGATATCCTGAAAGACTAAGCTGCCTTAAACCCAGAATGGACTTTTGAATAAGGAATGTATACATCTGGGTACCTGCTCACACGTTAACAAAGGACTATTGTTTCCTACAATTCTCACTTTTCTATGGTCTTGCAGAAATTCCCTGTTGTACGTCAATAGTTCCCTCCTGCCAGGAGCCCCTGCTTTGCTCAAAAAATATATTCAGTTTTTAAAACCTGATGAAGTGGAATCGTAGCTTGGTTTTCTGAAAACAAATCTGTCAGGCCTGTAGGAGTGACCCAGATCCACATAGTGTCTTTGAACTGGCACTGCACATACAAGTGACCTTAAATTTAATGCAGTGTGAAACTCAGAAAGCTAAAATAATAATGGAATATTTGAATATTAGTGAAATTTAATTTGTCAGTCCAGCTTTTTGCCCTCCTTTTAGAAAATTTACTAATTTTTTAGTCCAGGACCTGCTGATAATTCAAAATCTTTTCTGCCCTACAAGGGCATGTGCCTCCTACTGTGCTCCAGGATAGATTTAGCAAGAGGAAGTGCCTTCCATTAATACACCTTGTCAGATACACCTTGCAAGTCAAGTTACCTTGGAATTAGCCCATGAATACCTTGAGCATCCTTTAAGACCTGCAGGCATCCAGCCCTGTATCACTCTGGCCTTTCCAAAGGTCTATGTACATAAATTATTTACCTTTCTCAACTCACCTGGGCAGTTGTTAGTTAACCCATTAGATCCCATTGTTAGTGATGCTAAAGGATGTAAGGAAGAAAACCAGCAAGCCAATCAGTTGGATACTGTGTAAAGCTTTGAAACTACATGAAGTCAGAACTCACATTATTTGAATTTTTTGCAGCTTGACAGCTGCTGTTCAGAGGCTCCCTGGCAGCTGTTTGTCCAGCAATATGCCACTGCTACATTTCTAGTCCACATTGTCTGAATCAAAGGAGATCTGAGTGACAGTATCGATGTAAGTCAAGCCAGCAGCTTAGAGGACAGGCAAACCTTGGAGGAAGAAACAGTCTCTTGGGTATTAACCAATCTGCTTTTTCACTTGAATCTGTGTATGTGTAGAATGCACTTTTTCCTCTCTTGCTTTCTACAATACACCTCCTGGGCATATGCTGTTTGCATTAAACCTTCACAGCAATGGAGCTAATTACTCAGATTTCATATAGGACTAAGGACACCCTTCCCACCGCTATCAGAAGAAATAGGTAGAAAACATAATGAACAGACATATGTTTCCTTCCCAGTTCCTTCAGAGCCTTTCTGTTGGCTTGGCTCTCTAAGGTCCTTGCCCTGAAGCTCATGGTTCACTCTCTCAAGTAGAGAGATAGCCTGTTGGAGAAACAAGGTTAGGTTATCTGCTCAAATCTTCTTTCCCTTCCCCCACGGCTTGTCTCTCTCTTCTCTTTTGTTCTGTTTCCAAGACAAATTTAGGAATGAATTCGCACAGCTTTACAGGGTTCCCTTCCACCACCTGGACTCTTTGTTCTGCCTTGGTCTATCCCCCACCTTTCTGCTCTCCTTTCTTTGCCAAATAGGACTGCAAAAACTGGTTCTCACTCAGGCTTCAGTTAATTTCCTTGTCAAAAGGAAACAGGACTCCTTTTATTGCGGACCTGACTCCTGTGAGGTGCTGCAATCATGGCCCCTTCCAGTTCAGTAGATAAACACAAGTCTAAGGCTAAATCTTAATAGTTCCCTTTAAGTATTTAATGACTGACTCATTTCAGGTCTGCGAGGAACTTTACTAGCACTGCTGGGTACATGTTTGCACAAAGATATCCACCAAATACTAGAGATACAGAGCAAATTCAACAGAAAGCAGCAGAAAGGGATGTGTAGACACACATCCCCTTTACAGTCACATCCCACTTCCAGTCACACCATACTAGAGATACAGAGCAAATTCAACAGAAAACAGCAGAAAGGGATGTGTAGACACACATTCATTCAAATACAAAAGGTGAAATTGTGGTGCAAAACTGGAATGCCAATAGATTCACAGGCTCATGGGATGACATGACAATTCAGGTTGGAAGGGACTGCAGGAGGTCAAAGAGTCAGCCATGAGGTCAGACCAGACTGCTCAGGGTTTTATCCAATCTGATTTTGAATCCAGATGGATCCACATACACTTTTGGAAATACGTAGGTGTAAAAGAAAGTGCAACACCTCTCTAGGTCAAAGTTAAATACCAAGATGGTATAATAAGCCTCCCACTGTTTTACTTTCCAGTGAACATCTGATTTTGGTACAATTCTCCAGTCAAGACCCAGGCTCTTTAGATGAACTTGCATAGCATGATGCTTATTGCTCTACTCTGCTATAAGCAGAAGGCACTGCTGGTGGAAGTAGTTTCCACAACAGTGACAAATTGCTCACAAGGCAAATTATCACTAGAAGACCACCACTGCATTACCACTTTGCTTTTCTCTGGGGATATATTAGCAAATAGACATGCTGCAACATGGAAAGTTAAGAAATACTGACTAATAAAAAAGTCTAGTGATTCTTAATATGTAAAAGAGAATCAGTGTACTAGATCAGATGTGATGTGAAACAAAAGTCCTCCTATTTTGAATTATCTTCTGCAAGGTGCTGGAAGAGGTGGTCCAGACTAGTAATTTATACAATACCAGGAATCAATAGAAATACTAAAAGTTATGAATGTCCTCTGAAATCAACTGCCTTGGTTAGCAAAGGACAGTGACCTCCAGCAAGAAAAAAGTTCAAAGCTGCTTTTCCCATGCTACTGTGTTGGTAGTACCTCAAGACACATGCTGTTAGTTAAAAGCACATGCAACTGGTAGGATTCAGCTACAAATTCAGACACATAAATTTAGGTGTCCAACTATAAGTGTCTGTATGTGCCCTTGTGACTTAATTCAGTTGTCTAGATCTTGAGTGTTGTTCGAGATGCTTTATGACAGTTGATGTCCAATGGGTAGCCCAGAAGAGTGTTGGTCTCCCATTGGGTCTTTGAACATCAAGAAGGTGTCTCAAATATTCTAAGATGCCTAAAGTTGGACTAGATACACGTGTCTAGGCAAGTAAGTAGCAGCTTAGTCTACATTGTCATTAGTGAGGATCTCCTGAAAAGAGTCAGTAGAGCTTAGACAGTGATTTGACTTAACCTAAACAGGCACCTAAGTTTGTTCAGTGTTAAATGAACCCTGCCCTTACTGTCATTTCAGACACCATGAAGCATTGGGGATACCTGAACAGGGTTAACAAATGTGACATATGGGAGATTTGTTACCTTCTGGACCAGTAGCTGCAGATCAGGAAGGGTACCCTAGGGTACTGCTTGTCTTTGGCCAAATAAATAGAGCCCCTGTTGTATTTTATATCATAGACAAGCTGTCTTTGATAGTTGTGCTGTTCAAGGAACAACCTCTTAGTCATGTCATCATCCTCCTAGTAGCCTCCTGTTCAAAAGCCTTATCAGCTTTGGCATATAAAGGACTTTCATGTGGCCTCCCATGGCCTTCAGTGACAGCAGCCTCGTTGCTCCCAAGCATTCTCCCAACTTCTAGGCTTTAGTCATGTCCCTAGAAAGTGTGGTCACTCCTCTGAAACACACAACCACACTAGGACACTCTCAACTGAGAGACAACATAGATATCTTACAGCTTCTGCCTGCCAAATTTTAAGTTAATTTTAGACTGAAGTGGAAAAAAAAAAATGAGACTTACTTCCACTTCCAGAAGGAGCATTTGGAGTCATTTACTGATAGAATTGATGAAAGTGACTTCTGGCAAGCCCTTCTTCTTGTGATAAAACACCTAAGTGTTGAAGTTAAAATCCGCAAGACTTTTTATCCAGTCTTTGCATGTTTAGCTCTACCATGAGTAGAAGACGGGCAGACAGATTTGTATATATGCACCTTGAGCATAAAGGAGACAAACAGTAGAAAGGAGGCAGACTTGTTCCTGTATTGGACATTAAAACACTTCTTTATAAAGTTTTTCTTTAATTCAGACTGCTCCTTGCAGGTTTCTCTGCTTCTTAATTTCACATTTCTCTCTTTTAGGCCATCCTAGGAAAAGGAGAGGTTTGAAGACTTTTACTAAGACAGATAGATGGAGTTAGAGATGCTCAAGGATTCTGCTGCAGGTATCCAAGAAAATGGCTACACAGAAGGAATAATTCTTCAGTCAGAAGCAGTACGATCGGAGTATCGATTACATTTGAACTATTAAACTTAGAACCATTCCTAAGTCTTCTGGATTTGCCATGCACAGCTTTCCCTGAGCAGAGAAGTCATGAGCAGTTAATGCCTTCTATTTTAGGCTTCTGCAGGAACCTCTTGTATGATTTCTGATCTCACACATATTATTAAATTCCACAACAGTGCTCAAAAGTTGATTTGAATACAGAGGTTTGTGATGTTTGACTATAAGTGAGATTTGGCTAAAAAATGAAAAGGTGTGTGAATCACTCTGAAAAATGAGCATGGAAGAAACTGGGCATTCATGTTTTTCAGCAAGGTTACTGATGGTATGTTTGTCTTCAGGACATTACCCTGTGCTGGAAAGCCACAGCTATGTAATTTCTTAGCTAAAGTGGTAGCCACAAGCCTGCTATAACCCTTCCTCCGATGCTCTGGAAGAGTATAACTATGAATCATGGTGGCAAACTGGTCTGTTAAGCTCCAAGAAAGGGGATACCCATTGTCATCCAAGACACAGACACTGGGGAAGCAGCAAATTAGATTAGCAAGGTACTTCTGGCTCCTTGGGTTGCCCCCCCGTGACCAGGTTTTGCTGAGCAGGCTGGCATGGGAGATGTCCAGGCAAGTCAGTGTTAATTTAGGGTCCATCCTAAGAGACAGTACAGAAAGTGTATTAGGCAGAAAGCTGTGCCTCGTATTCTCCAAGCAACTACACTAGATCTAAAGCTGTCTTCTCCAGCCAAATAGATTTCCAAGTCTGTATCAGAAAGGGGAGTCAAAGAGAGCTGAGTTCATTATGCTGGAGGTATGGGAATAATTATAGAGGGCAGTGCCTCTCCATTTTAGGTCTTCATTTATATAAACTCCTGAGTCCATGCAATGCACTCCACAAGTGCCTTATTCTTTACAGGAAGAGTACAGATCTATCTACCTAATCTAAGGAGCTTTGACATACGAAGGTCAAAGGAGATGGAAAGCAGATCTGTGGATTCCATGTATACACAAAGAGAGGAGAGGTTGGGGACTACTCTGGAATATAAAACTGCAAAAGTGATAGACTGATTAAAGAAAAATATTGGTAAGTATTTAAGAGAATAGTTCCTTCCTTACTAAGCAATTCCTCAGTCAGGTTTTTGACCCAGTCACAAAGAAAGCCTAGCAGTCTTCCTGATATTTTTTATCTAAATGTACTTTCAGGAAATACATTGCTATAGTAAGAACATCAACAAATGACATGGAGTGCTTAGACATACTTAAGCCTGACATCCGGCAGCAGGTCTGGGTCTGAATGGATAACCATCTGGAAAGAGGATGTTTTCACATCCACCTGCTTAGATAAAGCCACTGTTCTGGATATTTCACATATTCCATCCTGGAGCCCTGTGTAAACAAAGATAAAATACTGAAGTGCTTCAAAAAGAAAGAATTTATTTTTTAAATAAAGTGCAATAGTAACACTTTTAATGGAAAGAGCTAGGTATTTGAAATCTCCAAAATTATTAACTAGGTTCCCTCCACACTCTGGCTATAGCTTGACATACATGAAGGTCAGAAGGCCCCACACTTTTTACCTAATCCAGTCACCAGAAAAATGAAGACACAAACCCTCTCCAAGTGACTTCCCCATCTAACTCCTACTCTGTTTGAGCCACAGTAAATTACTCATCCTAAAATAAAGATTTCAATAATGGAGGAACCACCTATTCCATAAGCAAATTCTTCTACTAATAGTGACCTTCACCATTAAAAATCTGTATATTGTTTCCCATTTAGGTCTTGTCAGGGTTCAACTTCCAAACACAGGCTCTCACTAGACCTCTAATTACCACAGTACCTACTGCTCCGTTCACTCTGTATGTTGTCTACAGAATCCTACGGTCAGTAGCAAAAATAAACATAAATAAACATGCTTTTCTGCCAATGAAATTGCTCCATCTAATTGAAAGCTGAACTTGAAATGGTAACAGTGAATATGATATTCACTGATAGGACAGGCTGAGACAGTTAGGGCTGTTGAGCCTGGAAAAGAGAAGGCTTAGGGGAGATCTTATAGCTGCCTCCCAGTACCTGAAGGGGCTACAAGAAAGCTGGGGAGGGACTTTTTACAAAGGCAGATAGTGACAGAACAAGGGGTGATGGCTTTAAACTGGAAGAGGGAAGATTTAGATGAGATCTCAGGAAGAAATTCTTTGCTGTGAGGGCAGTGAGACACTGGCCCAGGTTGCCCAGAGAAGCTGTGGATGCCCCCTCCCTAGAAGTGTTGAAGGCCAGGCTGGATGAGGCTTTGAGCAACCTGGTCTAGTGGAAGGTGTCCCTGCTGATGGCAGGGGGGTTGGAACTGGATGATTTTTAAGGTCCCTTCCAACCCAAACCATTCTATGATTCTATGTTTCTATGATTCTATGATATGGATGAAATTCAAAAGCTAGAAAAGCCATATCCTAGATTTTGTGTTTTACTTAAGTACAAGAAACCTTTCTATAGAGCAGAATGGCAGGATCTGCAAACCATTAAGACACTTTAAAGCAACTGGTTTATCTTTCTGTTTCCTCTAAATCAAGTAAGGCTGGACTGTACCTTGTATCTGAAAAATCTGTCCCCAGTTGATGGCATTTGTGTTTTCCAGCAGCTCCTGGTAAGCTTGTAACTCCTTGTAGAAAACTGCATGAGCATTAATATAGTGATCAAGGTCATCCATCTCATTCTGAGGAGAAAAAAATATGGAAGAATTTAAAATGCTCCCACTTCCCACACACACAGCTTTCACACTGGAATCAAAATTCCCTGAAAGCCAACCCCAGAGATCTAACAAACGGTTGCAGTTTCATGGTGGCTTCTTTTAGGACATTTTCCAAGGCCCTTTCAGTAGTGAATATCGAGCAAGACAGGAGAAATACCTGTCACTCTCCACAGTGGTGTAACAGGAGAAAGCATCACTGGCATTAAGTCCTCATGTACCCAAGGCACAGTAATCCAGGTCTGGTTGCAGTTTCTTGAAACTCTTACCTAATTCATTGTTCAAAGCTCAACTTTAAAACTGGTTTTCCTGAAAACCATGCAGTGTTATCTGGTCACCAAAGTCAACATGTTTAGACCAGGTCTTTTGGTAAATGAGATAGTACCAATGCCTGTTGTCTGCCTCTGAGTTGAAATAGCACAGCCTGGCCTTGTCAATACTGATAAATTCTCTTAGTCTCAAAAACAGTTTGGTAACATCAAAACTACCAGTTGGAAATTGTCCATGTCCTGTGCTGACTCCTGCACTGCTGGCGTAGGAGAGCTGGTTGCCCCAAAGAGTGTATCATAGAATCATAGAATGGTTTGGGTTGGAAGGGACCTTAAAAATCATCCAGTTCCAACCCCCCTGCCATCAGCAGGGACACCTTCCACTAGACCAGGTTGCTCAAAGCCTCATCCAGCCTGGCCTTCAACACTTCTAGGGAGGGGGCATCCACAGCTTCTCTGGGCAACCTGGGCCAGTGTCTCACCACCCTCACAGGAAAGAATTTCTTCCTAATGCCAAGGATTTAACTGCACAGGCAGTACTCATAGTACCCCCCATGAGACTACATGAGTTTCTCTCCTAGCCTGGAGTTGGGGGAGTACCCACAAATTCATGTAACTCAGAGATTGCTTTATCATGGTGGACAGAAGGGGTTGAGGCAATTCCCCTTCGCAGCTTCTCTTTAGCACTGCCTGTTCCGGACAAAAAAATTGCAGAAGGACTCTTCTTTCACCTTGTAGTCACATCTGTCCCATCACAAGCTCACTAAGGCTCTTTTTTTTGTCTGTCTGTATAAAAGCTAGAAAGGCCGAAGAATCCTAGGAAAGTCTGCTGAAGTGATGTGAGTGCAGGTAAAATGTGTCTCAGTGTAAGCTATGCAAGTCAATCTTCAGTCAGTGCAGTCAGGGTAATTACCATCAATTAGAATATGTACTTTGTAAATTTGTTTGGTTAGGCTATAATTACCAGGCAGAACATTTCAGGAAAGATCAGCAGTCCCTATAGTGGGCTTTGTGCTGGCACCCACTGGGATGTCCTATTGCAGTTTACAGTTCCCTCCCGCCCCTGTTATGTGCTTCCCAGATAAAGCTAGCTCCATCCACAAAGCTCTCAGACAGCTGAGAAGAAGGTCTCAGTCATGTTGGATCCACCTCTCAGAAACAAAGATAAACAACGATGTCAATCTACCTGTCTCTGAGGCCGGGTGATAACAGCCTTGAAGTCTGGCCACGAGTCCACCACCACCTCCTTTCTGAAGGGGTTCCCTCGGTTGATGTTCATCACAGCTCCATAAACCTGCAGGACAAGCAACCAAAAGAAGAAAAACAGCTTGAGACAAGATAACATAGCACCTGTGTTATAAACCAGAGAGTGAACCAGTGACATGGACCTGAAAGCACACATTTAGATTTTCATACACACATTTACCACATAGGATGACACCTACACACTCACCAGCAAGGAACATTATCATGAGGATAAACCATTACCTAATTATGCCAACCCTAACTACTTTGGAGAAGAGGTGGACTGGTTTGTTTCTTACTTTTCTGAAGTATATGGATTTGGGTTAGGAAGCAGCACCAAACAGGTATCTCAGATGTAGTCACCTAAACAGCAAATAGTCAGTCCAGAAGAAGCATAACCCTCTCCCCACAGCTTTGATTCCCCAACAAATATCCTGGTTCACTGATGGAAATACCACAGAAAACAACAAGTCAGGGCTGCGGTACCTTGAGGGACTCGGGGAAACTCCACCTTAGCATTTTCTCCAGCATCTGCAGCTTCGTGGAGCAGTCGAGCACCAGCATCTTCCTTGCTGGGAACACACATAAGGTATAAAGAATCACTCAGAAAAGCAATTGAGGGACTCGGGGAAACTCCACCTTAGCATTCTCTCCAGCATCTGCAGCTTCATGGAGCAGTCGAGCACCAGCATCCTCCTTGCTGGGAACACACACAAGGTATAAAGAATCACTCAGAAAAGCAAAAATACGGAGGAACTGAGTGTCATAATGCTAATTGCATAAAATACAATGTGAGGAACTGCACTATGGACTTGTCTCAAAGATTGTTTGCAAGGACAGTCACAAGACCACCGGGTTCTGGGAACCCCGCTGTGTGAAGGCGCTCTGCCCACAGCGGTGTTCTGCCCGAACATGTCCCTGCCCCAAGTGCTGGGGGGCATGAAGAGACGTGCCATTGCTATGGAAACTACAGCCCTTGAAGGGGTATTTAAGGAGCACCAGCATGGGCAAGGGGGGGAGAGGAGAGAGAGAGACAGAGAGGACAACCGCCTGACCGCACCACACCTTGCCACGCCGCATCATCGCTGGAACAAGCAACTGAGACCTCCTCGCCCACCCCTCACTGTCACCTCGCCGCTGGACCCGTGGTGGTGACTATTCTTGCTGCCCTATCCCGACTCCTTGCTTGATTTCCCGTCTTTCGTTCCACACTGTCCTATCGCTATTCTCTTTATTACTCTTCTTTTTCTAATAAAAGATGTTCTGGCAGTACGGCATGTGACCTCGTTTGTGTCTTAATCTCGCTCTTGGGATCATATCGAAACCTTCCCCGACATCGGATCGGGATATTTAAATGATCCCGACATCGGATCGGGACATACAATAGCTCCCACAAGTGCCCTGTTTCAGCATTTTCCTATGGAAAGCATTTTGGGAATAGTTGGGTTGTTTTATTTTTCCACTAGAGAAGAGCAAGATGGGATGGTGTTTGCAAGACCAACTGGAGGCAAAAAATCCTGGGCTTAATTTGTTATTCTACAGCAGGTTTCTCGTGCAACATCAGGCAGGTCACCTAGAGAGAGATTTAAAAAAAAAAAGGTTTTTTCATGTCTGCCCCCAAAAATCACTTTACTTTTTGCTGGTAAAAACTGTAAAAATAAATTCTTACCACCAAATTCTTTAAGCCTAGATATGACTGACCTCTCTTACTAGTTAGTAGCAAGTAATTTGTACTATGTTAATTTAGCCTTTAACTTTTTATATTATGATTTGAGATAGTTCATCCCCCAGGGTAACCTCTTCAGCAGAGGAGTTACTGCAAGAATGAAAGCCACAAATCTTATTTGTGAAACAGCTGCCTTGTCTTGGCATTTTTTTTTTCCTTTCCACCTCTGCTGTAAATCCAAACTAGCCCATCCAAAACAACACAGCTATAGCCTGTCAAAAAAACACTTGAAAAATGCTCAAAAAAAACCAAACAAAAGAAACCCAAACAAAAAAACCACAAACAACCAAACAAAAAACTCTGAGAAGCAATAAAAATGTATCTTTATTTAAAAAGACCAAGGAAAGAGTTCAAATCCAAAAGTTTCCCAGAAGTACCACATCCTTCATCCTCTCTTTTACCTCTTAAACATGACCCAATTAAGCATTTCCCTTTGCTGCAGTTCATTATAAATCTTAACATACCTTATAAATGATTGTAGCCATTGTATCCACCTTACTGCTAACTTAACACCTTGTAAGCAACCACCTGTCAGGATCACAGATGGAGCAATAAATCCTGTAGCAGGGGCCTAGGTGGTCATCCATCCTCAGCTCTTATGTTCACTTATTAGACACGATATGACTACTACAATGGTACTGATCCAACAGGTAGATCACAAATAAGACAACAATCAGGTGTTACACAATCTGATTTTCCTATGTTTTTAAAGGAAATAAAAGGCACCTGCATACTACAAATGTTGGGGGGTCTTAGAATTGATGACTTATCAGCACTATATATGAACCTTATAATTGATCTTTTACTGCAAGTTAGTCAAGGAGTCTTTCCAAGCTCCCTATTAGGGCTGATCTGTTGCCCATAAAAAAAGGCTTCTATTCCCTTATTCTTAATACAAAGTACCAATCTGGGCATTTTCTTATTTTGTTTAATTAAATTAAATTAATTTAATTCAAAGTAATTAATTTAATACACATTGCACAATATTTTTTTCTAAAGGTTTTTGCATCTTATAACTTGAATGATCAGGATGATCAGAGAGCTGGAGCATCTCTGCTATGAGGACAGGCTGAGAGAGTTGGGGCTGTTCAGCCTGGAGAAGAGAAGGCTCTGGGGAGATCTTCTAGTGACCTTCCAGTACTTGAAGGGGCTCCAGGAAGGTGGGGAGGAAATTTTGACAAGGGCAGGGAGTGATAGAACAAGGGGTGATGGCTTTAAACTGGAAGAGGGGTGATATAGATTAGATATTAGAAGAAATTCTTTCCTGTGAAGGTGGTGAGACACTGGCACAGGTTGCCCAGAGAAGCTGTGGATGCCCCCTCCCTGGAAGTGTTCAAGGCCAGGCTGGATGAGGCTTTGAGCAACCTGGTCTAGTGGAAGGTGTCCCTGCTGATGGCAGGGGGGGTGGAAGGGTGGGACTAGATTATCTTTAAGATCCCTTCCAACCTATACAATTCTATGAATCTTCCTCCCAGGCTATGTTTAGGTTTCAAACATTTAGTCCCCTTTCCAAGTGACAGGGTTTTGTTTAACAGAGAAACAACCCAACATTCAGCACTCATTGGCTCTTCTTGTTGTCCTCAGCAGGCAGAATAAGGGTTGAATAAACCACAGTATTAAGCAACACACTTATACAAGTAGCCTGCTCCTCAGATTAGGGTAGAGATATGTGAACAGAGCAAGGTATGAAGCTCAGGCTGCCTCACTAAGACACTTGTGCCTTAGATAAGAAAATATCTTCTAGCATCCATGTGATCCACCAACAGCCTCAAGCCCTCCCCTTGCTGCTTGCTTTGCTTCACCAAACATAAGAATTAAAACAAAAAGCCTATTCTACGATCAAATGTGTATGTTCACCTTTCTTGAGGTTTATACTCCATTTTCAAAGGGAAAGTTGCCTCTGTGTCACAACACATCAGTATGCGTGTAAGGATCTAAAGGCAGCGTTGATACCTGTTGGAATACACAGCTACTTTTATATAAGGACAGTTCTTACAGCTCTATACTTTCAGATTGTAAAATCAATATTGCACTGATACACCACCTGATTGCTTACCTGCTGTCAATCTTGTAGCTTGTTCTTCCAAATTGCAGCAATAAACTTGAAGTTAGGAGACAATAAAATGCGTCACTTTCCTGACTGCTTCTGGGTGGGGAATGACAAGAGCCCTTGTTTAGAATCTTGAAACTATAATTTTATTGATCCAAATTGTTCTCACCTGGTATATTGTTCCTAAGAGCTTTATTCTTTCTTTTGAGGAGCACAGAAATAAAAGCCAGAGCCAGCCACACCTTCAGAGCCAGCCACACCTTCAGAGGAGGAGGGATTCTGTAAGCATAGTTAATAAATTCTCAAAAGGCTTGTTCAAGAGTGTGGGCTCTAGCAAGAACCTTTAATTTTTTCATTAAGACATTTAATCTCTTTGCATTCATACCAGGGAGTGATCTGCTTTGCACATACTTATATTTATCCCTTTTCTTCTCAGTGGCAGTGAAAGCAGTCAGTCCTGATTCTCAGTGCCAAGCTTCATGCCATGAGGGAATTAAGAGCCTGAGGTAAACTGAGATGTTCTGCCAAAGAGAAAACCAACTCAGCTGAGCAGCCCCAAGCATCATTTTCAGGTGGCAGCCCTGTTCACCCTTTGTCTGATTTTTCATTTGTCCTAGATGGTCCAGTTTGATGATGCTAACCCATATGGCCCTTTTGACTGGGACTTGATAACCTACAGCACAAGACAGAAGAGTCAACAGAGAAGGAATATTGACATTTTATGGGAGAGTACATGCAGAAAGATGTTTCATTTGAGCATGAGGAGGAGTTGATATGGAATATAGATTGATATTCCTGCTAAAGATGGGAACAGACTTTTTAGCTGGGCCTGTAGTGATAGGACAAGGGGTAATGGTTTTATTCGAAAAGAGGATAGATTTAGACTAGATGTAAGGAAGAAAAAGTTTACAATGATGGTGATGAAACACTGACACAGGTTGCCCAGAGAGGTGGTAGAAGCCCCATCCCTGAAAACATTCAAGGTCAGGTTGGTTGGGGGTCTGAGCGACCTGATCTAGTTGAAGATGCTCCTGTTTACTGCAGGGAGGTTGGACTAGATGAGCTTTAAAGGTCCCTTCCAGCCCAAACCATTCTGTGATTCTGTGAAATCTGTAGCTTGTAACTTACCTACTTGAAATCAAGGTTTGTGAAATTGAAGAGTTTCAGGTGCTTCCAAGTCAAATCAACAAGCTCCATGCACACTGAACAACAGCAATCCTTCTAGTAGAAGAGTCCTTTAATCTCATCAGAAATCACAGTCTGATCATTCTGTACCTCTGCCCAAAGGTAACCCAAATCAAGTAAGTTGAGCTAAAACCACCTCCTAAAAGTCTGGTTTTATGTCATTGTTTAATATTGTCCTGTTTGAGTGTGCATGACAACCCCAAACTAACATCCACAGCCAGCCAGCTTATCATAAATCACCCACTTGCAGAAAAAATAAAATAAAATAAGTATGGCTTGTTTCTGTAAATATCCAGCCCTGTAATGAATTGCTGGTGACAGCTCTGCACTGCCTTTACAAAAGGAAGGACAAAACTGGTTTTAGGAGTAACGCAGAAAAAGAACCTAACGTACATAAAAGTCATTACACGCTGCCAGGGAGTGCTTCCTCTCTGCATTTAAACACTATTTTGAGTGAAACACATTCCAATCTGAACAACTAGATTTGGAAGGAAGGGAAGAGACCAAAAATCTCAATCCCAGGAATTGACCACGCAGGAATAATCACAAAGGGTCTTGAAGGAGTACAGCCTTTCTTGAGGAAACAAAAGAAATGCTGAAAAC